CATTTCCTGAGCAGGTGCAAGATTTGCTTTTCAATCTGCATATGATTCTATCGGATACAGTGAAAATGAAGGAATATCAGGAAGACCCAGAAATGTTGCTGGATCTCATGAATCGTATAGCCAAAGGATACCAAAACAATCCAGACCTACGGTTGACCTGGTTAGAAAACATGGCCAAAAAGCACCGTGAACGTGCTAATCATACAGAGGCAGCCATGTGCTACGTTCACGCAGCTGCCTTAGTCTCAGAATATCTCAGCATGTTGGAGTCTCAGACCCATTTACCTGTAGGAGCAGTCAGCTTTCAACGCATTTCCCCAAATACGCTCATGGAGTCGGCCGTATCAGATGATGTGCTTAGCCCTGGCGAGGATGGTATTTGCCTGGGAAACCATTTTACTGAGACTGGCCTAAAGGCGCTGCTCGAAGAGGCTTCCAACTCATTTCAAGTCGCTGGAATGTATGAAGCAATGAACGAAGTATATAAGATTTTAATACCCATCTGCGAAGCCAACAGAGACTTTCTTAAGCTAGGTAAAGTTCACGGAAAATTGCAGGAAGCATTTAATCGAATCTCCCAGCTACAGGTAAGCAGCACGTTGATACACCAATGCAAGAAATGATTTTTAAAACCAATTTTCTATATTTAAACAGGGCAAGCGAGTGTTTGGTACATATTTTCGTGTGGGTTTCTATGGAAGCAAATTTGGAGATTTAGATCAACAAGAATTTATTTACAAGGAGCCGACATTGACAAAGTTACCAGAGATATTCAGCCGACTACAGGTATACAATATTCAATTATTTGAAACAAGGGTGTACACGGGATTTCTCGAAGGGGGAATTTTTTCTGTTAATTTCTCTTAAACTGGCAACAATTCTATATTATGATTCTATCGGATACAGTGCATGCTTTTTCAAAGAGTATATATTGTTGGTCCCAATCTCTTCAATTTAAATGTACTGCAATATGACGATTACATTACCCTGTGTGCACTTAGTATGTAGAATCATATGCGAAGAAACTTAAATGAAGAATATTTTTGTATTACCTTTCAGACATATATATATATATATATATATATATATATAAACCTTTCTGATTTCCTTCGTTGCTGAAGTGGTGTTTAACATTTCTGATTTAATTTGAAGTCACTTCGAGCAAATTGAGGTTAAGACTTGCACAGTGAAAATATAGGCTTTTCGGAAATTTTCCAACCCCAAGTTTAACGACGCCTGCTATTTAAGCAGGTCACCTTTAGCATGGGATATGTAATGGGATCTTTTTTGCAGCCATACAAAAAAATTAACACTTTTTAAAGTGTTTGAACACAGTTAAATATATGCTCTTATCATTTTTAGAACTTTTATACGGAACGATTTGGCCCAGACTCTGTACATATCATAAAGGACTCGAATACAGTTGATGTGAACTCATTAGATGCCGAAAAGGCATATATTCAAATCACATACGTAGAACCGTATTTTGAAACATATGAAATGCGTCATCGCGAAACCTACTTTGAGAGGAACTTTAACATTAGTACGTGTTTATTTGTATTTATAGCATTTATATTATATTAACACCTATTGATCAAATTTAGAACGTTTTATATATGCCACACCATTTACAAAAAGTGGTAAGGCCCATGGAGAGTTGCATGAACAATGCAAGAGAAAGACAATTTTAACAACAGCCAATCACTTTCCATATGTAAAAACAAGAATAATGGTAATTAGTCGGCAGCAAATAGTCTTGGATCCAATTGAAGTAGCAATTGAGGTAAGTAAACTGATGGTATGCGATCTGAGCAGTTATTAATCTCAACTTCGTATCTGTTTTTTTGATTAGGATATTCAAAAGAAAACAGTTGAATTGGCGGCTGCTACAAATCAGGAGCCTGCTGATCCTAAAATATTGCAAATGGTCTTGCAAGGATGTATTGGAACGACCGTTAACCAAGGACCTATGGAAATGGCTAGCGTTTTTCTCTTAAATTTATCAGATGGCACAACCGTACCAACGAAACAGCAAAACAAATTACGGCTGTGTTTTCGCGAGTTTTCAAAGCGATGTGCTGATGCTTTGAAAAAGAATCGTAACCTAATACTTTCAGATCAAAAGGATTACCAACGTGAATTGGAACGTAACAACGATCGTTTTATAGAACGCTTAACACCTTTAATAACTCTTACCGCAATCCAAAATCTAGGCGTTGTTAAGTAAGTTTTTTTGTGTTCCTATTATTTTTAAATGAATTCTTCAGCATATATTTTATTTCCTCTTAGGGCAAACGCATACTACAACAAAAGCACTCCATTGAAATGGTAATTGTTGCTATTCAATGGCGTCAAGTATTCTGATAAAATCTCCTCTTATTCTGCATTTTCATGTCTAGCGTTTCGGACTATTTTAAGTAAGTTTGTAATAATAATTTATTCAATTTGTCTAGGAAGCAAATATACGTAAAATATACTATTTACCAACTATTTATAAACTAGTTCATTTGCTTGAAATTATGTAAAAAGTGTCAAAAACTATAATGACCATGCAAAGTTTACACTGTAACTTTTTAATTGTATCCCATGATCCTCAACAATATACATTTTGAATAGACAGACACGAAAGGCTAAATTACAATTTTTCACGTCATTTAATAATAAGCCCACATATTTATTTTTGTACAAACGTACAATATACACATGTTCACGAATAATTTTTAACAGAACATTTAAGTAAAATATAATAACCCCTATTTGAGGGGAGCTCTTTTATGTATAATTATGCTTGATGTGTTTTAATTATATAAAGTATCTACACATATGTCATATTTTAGCAATTCAAATACATCCTCGCCAGGATAGGTTAGCAGATTTACAACACTAACTATTCCCCTGTCTTTTATTCTCTCAGTGTAGCTTAAATTTTTGGGATTCCTTTAATATGTCTTTGTTGGGCTACTTAGCGAGATGACGCGACAGAACGGCTGCATAATCTGCTTCCGTGCGGGAGCATATATGTACATATATAAACAGTTGTGGAAAAAATAATAAAAGCCGCATACTTTTTTCGAATGTTTCATTTAATTTTTTTAAGTCTCATAATTTTTATTGAAGGTGTATACAATAATGATTCTAAATATAAAAAAAAAAATAATAAGATTCAAAAATCTTTATGTAACAATAAATTTTTTTTAATTTTTGAAGCCTGGAAAAAAATATAAATGCACTTATATTTTGTTCTTATCTTTTTATAAAACTCTCCAGAACTAAAGACAAAATAATATGTAAAATAGCTGTTCTTGCGGATCCTGTTTCAGAATGGGTCGCAAAGTGCATTTTGAGGATATTGAAAGAACAAGAAAGAACAATGACTGATAGTACTGCATCTGTTAGTAGCCGTACTATAATGAATAGGCTGATTGATGTCGATATAAAATACCATATAGCTCAAAAGTTACCATTCTTTAAGAAAAAAATATCAGAAACCGAGTCAATTTCGCGAACGGTCATAGGTTTTGATACATTACTGTATACTCAATTAATACAAATTATGAACTTTAAAAAATTTGCCTTTCAAATAATTAGTTCCATGACATGACTGTATGGGCAGTGGGACAGTGGGCAGTGCAAAAAACGAAAAATAATAGGATTTAATAGGTATTACCACTAACCTTACAGTATATTGCTGGTATTACTGGGCTATATCAGTCTTAATGAATTAAACATATATATACTTACGGTATTACGGTATATATGGTATTTTCATCAGTCGATAGTATCAATAACCGAACCGGACATTTTGTCGCGGCCGTTTCCTGCCATCATGCCATTCAGCAGGTACTTGCCATGTTGGTCACTTTAACTGAGCCCAATTGGTATTAATTAGTTATTTTTAATATGTATTTGATATACACCACATATAGTATATCCATATAAACTTAGCTTTTTTAAATATACCGCCAAACTACGAACCGGTTAAAACGGGTCGACGCGATTTTTGCTCTCGGCCAAAAATGTTTGCCATCCCAGGCTCCAAAGAAGACAAAAACAATTTAATCTCTGTTTTAAAGATATTTCAACGACATTCTGCAGCTTATTGTCTTCTTAAAGATACCAAGATTAGGTACCAGGATCGAGATATATTTATTATACAAGATGATAATCATATGCATGAATATATCTAAAACATATTAATTTGAGAACATTTTTTTATTAATTACGTTTTAAAAACAGTTCGGAAAATCGATCTTCATATTAAACTAACGAAATAGAGTATACAAATACATATCTACGTATTCACGCATCAAGTTTTAAAGTACCAGCAACTGCGACTGCTTTTTTGTTGAACTTTTTTGTCAAAACCTTGTTTTAGAAAAAATGCAATAAAAGAAAGGACTAAAAAAAACTAGCCAATCTTGTAGAAAATTTATCCATAAATGGCCTAAAATGAAGTGGGCATAACTATGTGTTTTTCTTTTTTTTTTCACCTATGTCATTCGCTAAAACCTTTTTTTGTTTGACCATTTTCGCTAAAACCTTTGTTTAGCAAAATCCAATAATAGCATATGTTTAAAGTAAGCCAGTCAACTAGAAAATAGGACCATTAATTGGATAAAATTATGTGGGCTTGGCTATATATTCTATCTAGCTAATAATATTCGACGGAATATCAAAATCGAGGAATATGGTTTCCAATCCTTGCCGGAGAACGATAACCCATTGTAGGCCAAGAGGGTATTTTAATATTCCACCGAAAATAATGATAATTTTATAATCTTAACGCAGTTCAGGTGAAAGATATCGTGTTTTTTTTTTTTTTAAATTCAAAGGAAAGATGAATTGAATTTACCAGAAGAATTTATTTTATTTTCCGCCATTTACCTAAAGTAGTTGAACTATTTAAATAGAGGGGGCTTAAGTGGGCTAAATTCGGTTTTTCATCATACGGTATATTTTGAAATATGTGACGTAGCTTCGGTATATTTCTGATGGCCCGGGGTTATAACGAAAGAAGCACAAAAACATGTTGTTTATTAATCATTATTCAACCATAATGGCATTTCTGGCTTTGGCGGTGGCATCCACATCAGGCGATAAGGCTACACCTCCGCCTTGTAAGGCCTGTAGTTTGCTGGCAACATCTTTCAAAGTTGGCCTGGAACGCACCAAGCGGGGGCATGGTGGTGGAGATACGGCTTGGGAGGAGGAAAAACTACGTTCCTATAAAAACAGTGAAGTCCGCCTCGTGGAGATCCAAGAGAGACTGTGCTCAGAGGCAGAAGTGGTCAACAAAGACCATTGCCACAACCTCGCCAACGAACACGAAGCGGCAATTGAAGACTGGTTCACCCACAAGCAAGCCGAGAGTCCGGACCTTCAGTCCTGGCTGTGTATTGAACAGTTGAGCGTGTGCTGCCCGCCGAACACCTATGGGCCAAACTGTCTGCCTTGTAGCGAGTGCAGCGGGAACGGTATGAAAGAAAACATTATATATATAATTTTTCCGATTATCATACTGTATTTACAATGCAGGCAAGTGCAAAGGAGCCGGAACGCGAAAGGGAAACGGAAAGTGTTTATGTGACGCTGGCTACGCGGGATCTAATTGCAAAGAGTGTGCCCTTCAGTACTATGAATCATTCCGCGATGAAAAGAAGCTCTTGTGCACACAGTGCCATGCTGCGTGTGGCGATGGCGGTTGCACTGGGGCTGGTCCGAAGAGCTGCCGCAAGTGCAAGGATGGCTGGCACATGGATTCGGAAACTGGATGCGTCGATATCAATGAATGCCTGTATCAGCAGCGTCCAACCGCTTGCCGTCCGCAGCAGTTCTGTGTGAACAACGAAGGATCATTTTCTTGTCTCGAGTGTGATCGGTCATGTAATGGTTGTGATGGCGATGGTCCAGACATGTGCAAGCAGTGTGCGGATGGCTTTGTACTCAAAGATGGCAAATGTCAAGGTAAGTAAATGGATTGGGACGCAGCTCGTAATTTTTGGAACAAAACCATCTAAAAAATAATTTTACCCTACATTTCTCGCGCATCTGCTCTCCAAAGACCAATCCGCAGAGGAACGCGACTCGTATGTGAACTTCACGCGGTTACTCACTTACTTCGGCATGTGCGTGGCCACTTGTGTTATCTTTCAAAGCTCCACACATATTGGCTGGGGCTGCGTTGTTGGTGCGGCTGTTGCCGTATATATTGCTGCTTCTGAGTACTGGCTTAATTCGCCACAAGCAGGCCATAAGCCCGAAATCGACACAAAGCAGTTGGAGGAACTCATTATGAAGTCATTATAAGCAGAACTTAGCCATCATAGTGTCCAAGTGGGACATAGTGTTTATTCTGTGAATAATTCGCGCCCAAGTCATTTCAAAGATCAGCAGTATTCCTGATTAAACAGAATATGCTTAAATATCCTTAACGATTTTCTATATTGTTTTGATTGCAGTCAGCAGCGACTCGGAAACTGCGCTCAATGAGGAGCCAGCGCACAAAGAACTGTAGATGGCACTGTAACGCACAGACATGCACACATTTTGTAGACAATTTTAGTTTTAATAGGTCATAATAGTATCAATTAGCAATGAATTAATATGACTTTTGCCAAAGAGAATTGAGAAATGTTTTCTGGTTTTTCCACTCAAAACTTCAAACACTTGTCACCAAGCTCAAGTTCATTCCTTGTTATTCGTATCACATTTACATCTTTAATTATTTGGTTTTCAAACATTTACAAAATCACAAATACAACTATAATATACTTTGAAGTTTCAATAATTAGTTTTGACTTAGTGGACCTCAAAATGGCTGTTTTGAAATGTCCCCCAGAGAGAAATGTTGGATTGCAATGGAATACTGCTTGAAGCTGATAAATAAAGACACAACCCCAAAAAACAATCTATTAGGATTTATATCCACCAAAAACAACATAAAGAAAACAAATATTAAACAAGTTAACGTACGCCACCACCACATTTTCGCGTTCATAAAAAAGAAAACGGGCTACATTTGATTTATATCAACAACAAAAATAAATACATATGATCCTTCACACTGGCCACAAAGTATTAACACAGCCACAGAGTTCCATCTATCATCTAATTCTACGACCGTGTGAGATGGCTCTGACTGGTGCTAGCCGCTAATCCAATCTCCTCATCCGACTCATCCGAATCTAAGGGACTCACACGAATCGCCTGGTACCATTTATTGGTCAAGTCCGCCATCTGAGACTTGCACTCATGCAGCTCCTGGCTGTTGAATCGACGGGTGAAAAACGGAATGAAGTACTTGCGATCGAGGCGCCCAAAGCGATTGCGAGCCTGGGTAAAGGAGACATCCTCCTCTTCGGTAAGTTCGGACAAGTGCTCTGAATCAATCGCCTGACCCCACTCCCGTGTCTTCGAGAGGGAAATAGATTTTGAGCGTTTGCGGCTGTTGCTGCTGCGACGCGCTCCCACTGCCTCCTCCGATGAGTTGCGAACAGTTCCACGTGGTCTTCGTTTTTTTCCAGGCTTAAGATACTTTAGCAGCGGCATGGTAGAACCACCCAAAACCAAGGTTGTGAAAAGCACGATTATCAACCTGCGGATCGAAAATTAAAGAACCCTGTCATTTTGTTACAAACTGTCTACGCTTACGTGGTTGTAATAATAACGTGGCGTTTCTCTTGGCTGTCAAGATTTAAGTGCAAAGATAACGCATAGGAAATAGCTCCACGTAAGCCAGAAAACCACATAATAAACTGCATCTTGTTGTTGATTTTGTGCTCGCGGAATTTGTTAACCAAAAATGCGAGAGGAAAAATGTTGCAGGCTCGTCCAATAAGACACAATACGATCGCCCATATAACAAAAGACAGCTCAACTTGGTGCTTGAATGAAAAGATCGCTAGTCCCAGATAGGCGAACACACAAGTTTCTGCTATAAAAGCCAAGGTCCTCATTGTTTGCTGCATGGTGATTTGAGTTACCTGTAATTGGAGTAAGATGGTGTTTAGAATGTGTTGCAAGGAAAACAAATAAATATTAGTAACTTACCGTAGACAAGTTGAAATGTGTGTAGTGAGACATCACGATTCCACAAAACAGTATGGCCATAATTCCTGTGAGGAAGTAAAATTAATAAGTTATATACAATAACTCTCAGTAGCTCTTAGCGATCACTCTAATTGTCTTTACATAAATTATTTACCACTTAAGTGAATTCCCTCGGCTAAAACGTAGGGAGCGTAGGTGAACATAAGCATCATGGCAAACTCAAGGGACGGATGCTTCCGCAAGTCAATGTGCTTAAGTAAGAGTGCCGATATCAATGCGAAGATGACTCCGATGCCGGCCGAAGCAAAGAACATGGCACAGAACGTCTTTAGGGCACTAAAGATTGCCTCTCCCGTGCTAGCCTCTGCATTTGCGTTGACAGATTGTGTGATGGAAGCGGTTAGAACAATCGATATTGCGTCGTTTAGAATGCTCTCGCCAAACACCAACATGTTAAGTATTGGATCAACATCCAGTGCATGAAAAATAGCCACAGTGGCGACAGGGTCAACTGCTGAGATGAGCGATCCAAAGGCAAAAGACTCTGAAAAGCTAAGCCTGCGAGAGAGTGAATGAAGTTAGCAACAGTTGAGCAACCGAAGAGAAAAGAAGGAAATTTACTTACCGGAATGCCACCTCTGCAAGACCAAGCAAATATATTCCGGCTCCGATGACTAAAGCAGATATGGTTGTGCCAAAAATTGCGAAGACTAGAATCGAGCCAATGTTTTGAAAAAAGTTTCCTTTGTGCAAATTGTAGCCGGACTCAAAAATAATGGGCGGCAAGAGGACAAGGAAGAAACCCATTGGAGAAAACACCTCTTCGCGCTTCCAGCTGCCATTTTGGCCAGACATAACGTTCAACGAAAGTCCAATAAAGGCGCCAAGGAACACCACCACGATGCTCTCCGGCAGATATTGGAAGCCAGTCTGAAGCATTGAGTGAATCAGTAGAATACCTAGCATAATTACACAAATGACAAAGAATAAAGACAGCGAGGAGTTGTGTTCTTGCTCAACAGCATGAGAATCAATGAGCGGAGGTTCCGTGACTAGAGTAGAGGTGTTTCCCTTCCTTGTGGTGCTCCCATTGATGGGAGAAACAGTCGAGACTGGGACGTTCACCAATGGATTGCTGGGTGAGGAATTTACATGACTGGCGTTACTATTTTCTGCTGTACTAGAATTTTTAAGTATTGTATTTGGTGATTCCTGCCCGTTGATGTCCACCGCTACTGTTTGCAGTACGAGACAAATTACAGCTGCATTCCAAAACAGCGACCAGCGGCTAAGATTCATTTTAAGCGATGCAGTGATATGCGGATCGCACGCATTTAACTAATATTAAACAATTTCAACAATTTGTTTTCCTTTCATTACACCGAAAACACGTCAGTAACAGCTGTTTATCAGATATAATTTATCGCAGCGTTGCCATATTATCGCAGTAACTACCAGATACGGGCAGGCACCGCAAAATATTTGAACGGAAATTGTGCCTGTAATAGAGTTTAATTGATTCAAAACGAACTATACACAAACAAGATTATTAATCATCAGTTCGCAAGGCGTCATTTCGACTTCTGTCAAGTCACGTTGGCGATGGGGGTCGCAGGGGCCGGCACTGATAACTTTTGTGCAGAGATCTAGCTCGAAATTGACAATTTCAATGTTAGAAGACGTTGCGGTGCGACTACCGTGTAACTAGGTCCGATTTTCTGTTTCTTTCAGGCTTAACAATAGAGTTCCCATTCGCATATTTTAACTATATACTGGAATATACAAACATACACATGTGAATGTTGTTTTTGAGCCCCACGCGATCAGACCTAGGGGGGTCAAAATCATTTGAAAGATAATGCAGCTTGTTTTTTTCGGCTATTTTCAGTCGGTTTTTAGAATCTTTACTATATTATGCAGAAAGCTGATAACCGGCGCCTTGATCTTGGAAGACCTCGTTTGTCGTTATCATGAGGTGATCATTTTGCAAAGAAATCAATTACAGATGGCTTGAAAACCCTAAATTGTATATATTTCATTGATTAGTGTCGGGTGGTCTGTCATTGACCGACGAATCATATCGGGTAGAGTTGAAAGCCATAATTGCATCCAAATTATACTCATAGTCATCAATAATGAGATCATATTGCGATTTAGAAAATATTCCTTGACAAGAATGGGGCAGAGTATTAACTACATTTTCAAATGGTTGCGCGAATAAGCTGTTTTTCGAATAGTACCGCATAGATTTGGTTTTGATAAGCTCTTATTTCATGCCGACTCATCTTTCCGAGTTGGGGCTGCAAAAAGTTTATAAATTAGCATTTGCTTTCACAAATCGACCGCAGTCGAACTCTGTTCGAGCAGTAGACAAGTCGTGAGTGTGAAATTGTCGAGCCCGCGCCCAATATTCTAATTAAAGTAAGTACAAAGGACCCAGATCCGAGAAGTATATTTTCCAACGAGGTGGCAGCACTCATAAACAGCTGTTTTTATCAGTGGGTAGGTAAGAAAAAACGTGGAGATGTCACTCCAGAACGCTAGGAAAGTTTTGCGGCCCCAACAACCAACAAAGAGCGCCACCGTAAACCCCAAAAATATATTCTCCCGCTCACTCTCCCGCTTCTATATTCGCTCTCGCTCACGAAAAATTCTGGCGAACGAGGTATAAATTTTAAAACTCACAAAAAGTGTGCGCTCTTTTTCTACGGAACCGTCGCAAAGATTGGACGTGTGTTGGCTGCGCTGCTTATTACGTTGCCGTCGCTGAAACATTAGAGACTCAGTGTGTATAATTTATTGAATTAATAGCAATAGAAACGGAACTAGTGTATAAACTAGTATACAAAACACAGCGCCTGTCGAATAGTTATTGACCTTTTATAACGTGAGTGTCGGTGCGTGCTAGATTCTGTCGTTGCTTACTGTGCTATTGTGAGCTGCAGAAACACCAGGGCTCGCCGCATGAAAGGAAAAATAAAAATACGCTTTGTGATTATATAAAAATATACACTACGAAAAGCGTGCAAAACCGGAAAATGTCTAAAGCTAAAAAACAGCAGAGCAGCGGCGACAGCGGCGCCAGACTACTCGTACATGTGCAAAATAGTTCTTTTATGAGAGTGTGGAAAATCAATCTGCTCATGAATATTCTCCCTATTAACTAATGCCAACTGTTTGCTTCGTTTTTTTACACAGCTTAATCCACAACTGAACGAAAAGAATTAAACGAATTCCACCCAAAATGCCGCAAAAGACAAACGGACACAGCGCCAATGGTTGTAATGGCAGCAATGGAAATTCCTATGACATGGAAGATGGACAAACATTCCTATTTACTTCCGAATCTGTTGGCGAGGGTCATCCAGGTAAGTCCCGTGCTCCCGTCCCTTAAACCACATAAATCGTGTAGCTCAGCCTTCTGCAATTGCATCCCAGGTATCTTCTATTGCATCATAGCGCGGCCATGCATCTGCATATATGAATACATACATATGTATGTACATGCACATCCATACGCATACTCTCGCACTTGGCGTCTGCGTCAGTTTGCTGTGTTTCTCTGTTCTTCTCTTAACCTAACATAACTGTTTCTCCAGGAACTGGGGTCTGGCCCTGTCTCCCGCTATTCGGTCAGCTTGTTGACTGTCTGCTAAAACCTTTTTGTATTGCAATGTTAATGCGGGTTGTTCAAGATCTAAGAAAATGGCGGCTGAGCGCTGGTGCGCTCACCTTTGCTCAAGCGACTATCCCTCGTCGAACCTTATTGTTACTACAATTTGCGCTTCTGTTGTAGCTGCTGCGGAATGAGATTTTGTGTCGAAAAACGTGCTTGTTTACTCAGCAGCGGCCGTCTAA